TCTGGTGGTTTATTGGAGATAAGAATCTCATGGCCTTACGTGCCCAGGCTGGCTCTGAATCATCATCCTCAGATCTCAGCCACCTGAATAGCTAGGAATACAAGCATGAGCCACCAGTGTCCGGCTTCCCTTTTACTTTTATGTCATGGCTTTTTTTTTTTTTTTTTTTTTTCTTCGGTCCGGTTGTGGGGCCTAGGTGCTGTCACTCAGCTCTTCAGCTCAAGGCTATCACTCTACCACTTGAGCCACAGCGCCACTTCCGGCTTTTTTTTTTCTGCTTATGTGGTGCTGAGGAATCGAACTCGGGGCCTCATGCATGCAGGGCAAGCGCTCTACTACTGAGCCACCTTTCCAGCCCTTTTTTTGTTGTTTTTGTTTTGTTTTTTGCTTTTTGTCCATCATGGGGCTTGAACTCTGGGCCTGGGCAGTATCCCTCAGCTTTTCAGCTCAAGGTGAGTGCTCTACCACTTGAGCCATAGCACCACTACCAGTTTTTGAATGGTTAACTGGAGATAAGAGACTCACAGATGTTCCTTCCCGGGCCTTGAACCACAATCCTCATATCTTGGCCTCCTGAGTAGCTAGGATTATAGATGTGAGCCACTGGCGCCCGGCAATGCTACTGTTTTTAGGTACATGTGTGACTTTTTTTTTTTTTGCGGGGGGGGGGGGGGGGGGTGGTCCTGGGGCTTGAACTTTGGGCCTAGGTGCTGGCCCTGAGCTTCTTTTGCTCAAGGCTCTTGCTCTACCACTTGAGCCACAGCACCACTTCCAGCTTTTTTGAATAGTTTATTAGAGATAAAGAGTCTCACAGGACTGGCCTTGATCCACAGTCCTCAGATCTCAGTCTCCAGAGTAGCTAGGATTATAGTACCAGCACCTGGGTATGGGTGTGTCTTGATCTCATCTTGTTATTAAGACACTAGTCAGATTGGAATAGGCCCCACCCCGATGATGCACTTTTGCCCTAAATGCCCTATTTCCAGTCAAACCTTGAGTTATCAGTCTTTGGGTGCCAGCATTGAGCATATGGCTTTCTTTAGAAGAGGACGGAGCTCAACCAGAACAACTTCCTCACCCTGGAGATCTCCCAGGCCTCAAGTATAGCAAGGATGCCAGCCGTTATCTATATCTTGTATCTTGCTGGATAGAAGCCCCAGCACCCAGACTACACACCTGTCATCACCTTGCCTGTATCCTTCCCACAGTGATGCCTTTGCCAAGTTGCTAGAATCTGGGGACCTGTGTATGAACTCAATCAAAGTCGATGGCACTAGTATGTCTTTCCACAACCTTCTGGCAAAGATCTGTTTTCACCACCATTTTTCAGGTAAGGATACAACATGGCTGTTTCAGAGTTTGTAGCATTTACCCACGTTTTCCTCATGGGGCCTGGTCCCACCTGTACTGCAGACCCCACCCTGACCCAGAATAGCTCATGTGTGTTCAGTCCTGAACCTCAAGGACTTGACAGAATGCAGTGACTCCTGTCTCGGCCACCTACTGCTCTTGGTCCCTTGGAACTGTGGCTGAGGTACCTCCTGGGTGGGGCCTTGTGCATGCAGGCAGGTAGGTGGACCTCATCTGGTGCTCTGTTACAGTTGTGGAGCGAGTGGACTCCTGCGCCTCTATGTACAGCCGGTCCATCCAGGGCCACCATGTCTGCCTCCTGGTAAAGAAGGTGAGTATAGGACATGGCCACAACACCATGCCAGGGAGCTGTCAGGCTTTTCCCAGTCCAACTGACAGTGGAGAGAAATGTTTTACCCATATACCTCTCTGTCAAGGAGGCTCTTTCTTGAGAGGCCCCCTGCTTGAGAGTAGGGGCTTTGCTGAGTGCTGGAGGCTCATTCCTGTAATCCTAGCTACTCAGGAGGCTGACATTTGAGGATTGTATGTAGTTTCAAACCCACCAGGCAGAAAAGTCTATGCGACTCCAATTAACCGCCAAAAAGCCAAAGTTGAGGTGTGGCTTGAATGGCAGAGCACTATCCTTGAGTATAAAAGCTCAGGGACAGCACAGTTCAAGCCCCAGGATTGGCACAAAAAGAATATAAATTTCAGTACAAGGGGGGTGTAGCCCCATGGCAGAGTTCTCACCCAACATGCACAGGCCCTCTAATTCCTCCCACACAGAGAAGCAGTGTCTCCTCACAGCTTTCTCCTCTCAGGGTGAGAACTCAGTGTCGGTGGACGGGAAGTGCAGTGATGCAACTCTGCTCAGCAGCCTGCTGGAGGAGATGAAGGCCACACTAGCCCAGTGCTGAGTACTGCCTGGAGCCCAGCCTGTGGAGGACACCCGGTCAATGGACACCAGATCTGACGTCTTGCCTCTCTTTTGTGGTGTACTGTCCTCACATCCAAGCATTAATTTAACTCCACTGTCCACTGTGTGACTTTTGAGACCCTATGTTGCATTGATTTATTATCCTTTTTTGACTCTACGTCCCTTTGGCAAGAAGTCCTATCCCAGTCCCCAAACTACCAAGGGGCTCCCTGGTTCTGCTTGCCACCATATACTAGGGCCTGAGCTCCTTACAGTGTGGCCACAGGCCACTTACCAGGTGGTGGGACTTCCTGGGTCAGTGCTCAGTGGGCACCCCGATAAAGCCTGCCTCCAATAGGAAGGGTGGAGCTGACCTTCCTATGTCCTGTACCTAGGGAAGCCTGACAGCTGCTTTTGTCCCCAAACATCCTGACTGGCTCTGGGGAGATGAACAGCTAGCCACCACCATGCTTCACTCTGCCAAACTCGCAAGGAGAAAAGACCTGTTGCCACTGCCTGCTGTTTTCGTTGCTTGTGAGCTGACAGCAAGGCATTGAAGCCATAGGCTGGGCCATGGACAGAACCACTGATACCATGGACTGGCCTTTTTCTTGTTGGGACAGTATCTGGTCTCCTTGGGGGTGAGTGGTGGTGGCAGTGGCATGCAGTTTCATGACCATCTGCTTGTCACTACATACCACAAGGCTTATCCCGACATTATATCCACGGCTGTCTGGAGGGCCCTGGTAGAACTGGAAGCTCCATGTCTGGGTGGCTCATAGTGGAGGACACGTGTCCTGGATGCCCTTTAATTCCTGCTCAGTTGAATGAATGGGCTGCCCCTAGGCCAGGTCTCCTGGAAGGCGGCCTTCTGGGCAAAGCAGAGTGGAGACCCTAGGTGGCTCCTCTGCATAACCAGGCAGCCTGGTCACGTGCTGTACCTCCCTCAGGTGACAGTTCTCCATGACATTTTAACTGTCCTTTGATGAAACTGTCACTGTAGCATGTAGCGTAATCTATTACAGAATCCCGTGCCGTGATTCTAGAACTTTGAGATTGTATGATGTGTTACATAACAATTTATTTGCTATCGACATTCCCATATAAAAAAGACATATCACGCTGCTGTAATGATTTTTGTGTCAAGATGATCAATAAAATTGCAAAGCAGACATTCACGAGGTAACTGTCCTGCTAGTACCAGTGAGTACCCTCATCTGTTTGTGTCAGTCCCCCACTTGGCCCTACAGGCTCCTGGGGCTTAGGTGGTACATGGGTGAGCAAGCCCCTGACCTCCACCTGTACATATTACCATCCTCCCTGCCATGGGAAAGCCATTGCTGTGGGGCAGTGAGGCGAGGAATCTGGAGCTAAAAAGACCAGCAGGAGCGTGACTAGCCTTGCCTCTGTGTTAAGTAGCCACAGTTCTACTGGCCTTATGGCTAGTGTAGACAGGGGACAAAGTCATGCTCGGAGGAAAAGAATGTGTCAAGTCAAACTTGATACCCAGATGCTGCCATGGCTGACCGGGCTCAATGGGAGGGGTAGAGCACTGACCCCAGAGTGCCAGGGCTGCCCTACCCTATTGTGCACCAGTGCCTTTCTCAGACATGAAGCTGTCCCAAAAGATTACCCATCAGCCTTTTTCCATTCTCAATATCTAAGGCAGCCCTTGCTAAATGAGCACTGATGGTGTAGTTGGTGACCATCCACCTGGGGTAGGGTCCACTCACTACCATCACTACTATTCTCAACATCCCCATTATTGTTAGCCTTTTTGTTTTGTTTTAGTCTGTTAAGGGGCTTGAACTCCGGGCCTGTGTACCACAGCTCCACTTCTCTTTTTCTGGTGATTTACTTCGAGATAAGAGTCTCACAGATTTTCTTGCCTAGACTGGCTTTGAACCTCTGTCCTCAGATCTCAGCTCCCCTGAGTAGCTAGGATTATAAGCATGAGCCACCAGTACCCAGCCTGTTAACCCATTTTGTGTGGCTCTGACCTCCCAATATTGTGTCAAGGGTATCTACCCTGAAGGGAAGCCCACAGAGGTATTCTGTGTATTGCTCCCACACAGAGATAGCAATAAGCCCTTACCTTTCCTTCTTGTGTCAGCAAGCACCGAGCCCAGGCAGCTAGCTCTGCTCTTGGACTGCTAGGTGTATCATGTGACAGGATCCGTAGATCCTGGATCCCACTTAAATGACAAAAACTAAAATGCGCTAAAACTAGCCTGGCTTTCACGCAACAGTCATTGTGTCATTGAAAGAACCCACTTATTTCCTTCACCCCCCCCCCAAAAAAAAAACCACTTAGACATGCTCAGGTGTGTCATGATCCTGGAACCCTAAGTAGGGCTTACTGGGCTTCATCAAGTCCTATTTGTGGGTCAGAGGCCTGAGCCTACCTACTGCACTCAAGTGAGGATCTTCAAGCCTCCCAGTTTCTTTCTCCTGAACCAACAAAAGCTGTTCTTCAGTAGTGCATGAGTGGCTCATGCCTGTAATCCTAACTACTCTGGAAGCTGAGATTTGAGGATCACAGTTCAAAGCCAGCCTAGGCAGACACATCCATGAGAACAATTATTTAAAATTAACTGCCAGAAAGCTAGAAGTAGAGCTGTGACTCGAGATAGAATGCCCATCCTTGAATGAAAAAGCTAAGGGATAGTGCTCAAGGTCCTATGTTTAACCCTTAGTACTGACATGAGAAAGGGAAAAAAAAAAAAAAACAGTCTTCAATAAGAAATTAGGACGCTTTAATGGCCCCATCAAACTGTTCTTTGGCCCTGCTGGGGCCAATGCTATCAATACACAAACCCATCTCCCTCCCACAACCCACAACCCAGGCTGAGCTCCACAAGAATAGAGGGGGAAATTCAATATGGCAGCCAGCTTGTTCCCAGTCTGGGATAGCTGAGCTGAGTCCTGACCCCTGTTGTAGCCTGAGGCAGGTCCTTGTCAGTGCTGGGTCAGACATTCAGAGACATTTTCCAAAGTCAGGTTGGCCAATTGCTGGGGCTCCAGACAAGTGAAGCTTGGTGATGTCAGGCTGTGTGGGACAAAGTGCCCTCAATCCTTCCTTGCCTGCTGTTGCCTCCTTCCTTTATCTCTGCTGGGAGCCCTGTGCCTCCTTTCAGCCTGTTCCTGGGTCCCCAAAAGAGTCCCAGGAGGGTCCACCCACTGTCCCTGATACACATATGATGGGCCGTATTAAGACATAGGAATGCTTTGTGGAAAACTCACTGTGGGGTTTGGATTTCTAGTTTAGGACATTCCCACCTCCAGAGTCCACTGCTTCCCTCCAGCCTCCCTCTAGCCTCCCCTTCAGGAATACTCACAAGGCTGGGGTGGTTCTGCACATCCCAGGTGAAGCGATGAGGAAGACCACGTGAGTGTGGCTATACAGCAGAGGTCCAGCACATCCAGGCACAGAGTCCTGCTTATGGTGTCTACCCATCCAGCACCCCCATGGACCCAGAGGACCCCAGAGCACTCAGTTCTTCCCTCTTCCCTCCCCGTTCTTCCCTTGCAGAGGGCCCAGCCTTACCTCACACTGGTATTCTGGCTGAAAGATAGGATAGGGCTCCAGTTAAACCTTATTTTCTATTCTGAGGCTGCAGCTATATCCATGGCCCTTAGGTATCACTTCTGGGGCTCTGCCACCAGACTATGGGGACCCTTCAGCTAGGATGATCTGTCTCCCTCCTCCAGCTGAGCTCAAGAAACTCTCAAGGGAGTTGAGAACTGAGTGGTCCCAGCCCCCTCCTTTATAGGCTCAGATGGGTGACATTCTGCCTCCTGGTGGCCCCTGTGTAGGTCCTGGGAGCCACCCTCTGCATATCACCCCCAAAGGTACTCACATACCCACACTGCCTCTGAAAAACTGATGTTGCATTCGAGGAGAGGGACTTACTTGTGCCAATTATTTCTGCAATGAAAATGAGTTTGGAGTTAGGGAGTCCTATAGTAACTTTGATCAATGTCCCCCTCCTTGAGCCTAGGCCTGTGGGCAACCAAAACCCATCAACTCACAAGTAACTCAGAAGACCCTTTACAGCTGATTCCCACTGTGCTGATGACCTGTGGGGGACATAGGACTTGGAGGTAGGGTACTCCCCCAGCCCCAGGCCCCACCCTACCCAGGAGGTGATAAACCTGGGACCCCACAGATAGTAGGGTCCTCCATAGGTGGGGCTAACAGCTGAGCCCTACTCGCAGTTGTAGCCAAAGCAGACGACATGTGAGTCTGTGCAATTGGTGCAGGAGATGGTCTGATATTGGAAGATGCCTGTAATACAGGAGAGTTGGCCAAGAGCTCCCCCTCGGCCTTCCAACTTGGACGCCCTGTTGCTGGGCCCCTCAGCCTGGACCCACTTACCACAATGACGCTGACAATCGATGCGGCCTGTGGGGGCAAAGAATAGCTCAGTGCCTGTCCTTGTGCCACCTGGGGCAGAGTCATATACGGGTTTCATGTGTGTCCGTAGCCCAGAAGAAAGGGGCCATTGAAAGGCCCCCAGAGTAAGATAGGGGGGAAAAAAAACACCTCAAGGGAGGATGATTTCAGTGCTCTTATTAGCACATTTGAGGGACTAATTTTAAAAGGTGCTGGTGACTCATGCTTGTAATTCTAGCTACTCAGGATCGCAGTTTGAAGCCAGCCAAGGCAGGAAAGTCTGTGAGACTATTATCTCCAATAAACTACTTGGAAATAGCCGGAATTGGCTGTGGCTCAAGTGGTAAGAGTGCTACCCTTGAGCACAAAGACGCTCAGGGACAGCGACCAGGTCCTGAGTTCAAGCCCAGGATTGGCAAAAAAAAAAAAAAAATTGCTGGGGGGTGACATTTACCCTGGTGACCATATGATGAAAAAGATCCCACCTGGGAAGCTGCCTCCGTCTCACTTTTCCCTGGGTGACTGGGACTCCCAAGTCCTCATCCCCAAAAGTCCTCAGTTCTGGAGGAATTCGCGTCCCTGGGCATCATCACCCCTTCCCCGAGCCTTCCTGTGCTCACTTTCGATGATGGCATTCTGGATGAGGTGCACTTGGTCCCGGAAAATGGCTCGCAGCTCATTGGGAAAATACCCTAATGTGAGAGGCAGAGCGAGGAGGTCAGGCTTAGGAGGTGGTCAATGTGGGTGGGACTTGCCTCGATTTCCCCACTCCTTACCTGGGAAGTACATTTTCCCCTGGTACAGCTGGTCCATCCTCAGGTACACGGCTTGGGCTACTTGGTCCAGCTTCTCCCGGGCTGCGAAGGGGGTTTTCGGGGGCAGGTAAGCGGGCCTGGGGCGGGGTTCTCGAGGTATGTGGGTGGGACCGACCCCGGGGAAGGGTTCTGCACTTACTGATCTCCGCTGGGATGGCCAAGTGTAGTTCCTTCATCGTGTCCTGACTCCACTCGGTGAGCAGCGCCCCAGACACGGGGATGTCACCCACCCACCAAGACTTGAGGTTCACGTGGTGGCGGTAGAAGGAGAACTTCTCCGAGAAGTTGCCGTTGCAGTGCAGGCAGCCTTGGGCCAGCGCTGTGGCCATCCCCAGGCACAACAGCAGGGCCATGGCCCGCCGCTGCCCACCAACCAACGGCGCCGCCAGGGCCACGCCCTCCAGCCGCGCACCAACCAACGGCGTCATCAGTACCCTCCTCTCCACATACCCAACCAACGGCGCGCGCTCGGGCCGTAACTTCACTCCCACCCCCGGGCTCAGGCCCCGCCTCCAGACAAGGCCCCGCCCCCGGTCTCCACTGGGAAGTGACTACCCAGTTCCGCCTCCAGAACCTCGGCCACTTAGATGTCAGTCATAGACCAGGCTCCGTCCTCGACTTGACCTCGCCTCCCCTTTACAGAGCCTAGCTCCAGGGCCATCAACACGCTACATCTCCTCTTCCTGGGCCGGCCTCTGCTTGAGGATCCGCCACACGCTTACAACTACGATATAAACTCCGCCCACAAGTCTCGGCCAATGGCGGCAGAGGCCAGTTCTAGTTGCTAGACGACGAGGAGCGCGACCTAGCGCTTTGTCAGAATCCACGCTTCCATCCGGGGCACCCCGGACCTTTGACGAAGTGTTTCTCCATCCGGGCCTGGGCAGGGGGGGGGGGGGGGGGGAGTCCTGTATAGGAAGTAGGTCCGGCCCACGGGTGCGGCAGGGGCGGGGCTTTCGACTTGTCCTTCCGCAGGCGTGTCCCTCCGCAGGGCGACGGCCAAGGAGGGTGACGGGAAACTGGCAAGGCGGGAACCGGGAGTGCTAGGATCACGGCGGTGGCTGTGAGGCGGTCAGGTGAGTCCCCAGGAGGATGGAGGTGGCGACGTGCCTAAGTCGGGAGCGCTAGCCTGTCAGGGAGGGGCCGGAGCGGGCGGCAGGACGGCTGGGTCGGGTGAAGTGGCGACGAAGCTGAGGAGGGCGCTGAGTCAAACTGAACTGTGCCTTTGGGACCAGTGCCTCAGCCCTCCCTCCCCGGCTGTCTGGCCCAGCCCCGCAGGATGTGCCAGAAATTTCTTCCAGGAATTCCAAGCTTCCCCCAAACCCATAGAGAGGTAGGGCGGTGCGCAGAACTGGTGCTTGTTGGTTGCTCCGGGTTACAGAGCAACTGAGCAGGTGGCCGGGTGGGTGAGGAGGTGTGGGGAGATGTCCGCATCACTACTTCCAGGACTTTAAAGCCCTTCCCTGTCGGGTGCTAGTGGCTCAACGCTGGTAATCCTCAGGGAGGCTGCGATCTGAGGATCGCGGTTCAAAGCCAGTGCCCACAGACAGATTCCAGAGGCTCTTTGGCCAGTTAACCGCCCAAAAGCCGGAAGTGCAGTATTAGCATTAGCCTTGCGCAAAATGCTAAGGGACAGCGCCCTGCCCGAGTTCAAGCCCCAGGACACACACACACACACACTCACTCTCACCCTATTTTTCTCTCTCTCTCACACACACACACACACACACACCCCTACCTTCCTTGTGCTGAACTGCTAGGCTTGGATTTGTTTTAAAGGACCACTTTTCTTGTGCTGCGGATGGAATCAAGGGCTTTTTTGCGTAGTGAGCAAGCGCTTTTACAAACACTGGGCCACACGAAGCCCAAAGAACCATATTTCTTGTTTTTTTTGTTGTTGTTGTTGTTTTGTTTTTAAGTCCTTGAAGTCCCTGCACTGGTCTCTCCTATAATCGTTGCTACTCAAGAAGCTGAGATCTGAGGATCATGGTTCAAAGCCAGCCTGGACAGAAAGTCTTTGAAACTTTTCGGTTGTGGGGCCTGAACTCTGGGCCTGGGCGCTGTCCCTCAGCTCTAGGCTAGCGCTCTACCACTTGAGCCACAGCGCCACTTCGAGCTTTTTTTTCTTTTTGCTTATGTGGTGCTGAGGAATCGAACCCAGGGTATCATGCATGCAAGGCAAGCGCACTACCACTGAGCCACCTTCCCAGCCCAGTTCCTGAAACTTTTATCTCCAATAAACTACCAAAGAGCTGGAAATGGAGCTGTGGCTCAAGTGGTACAATGCCAGCATTATGCAAAAGTAGCTGTTTACCTCCCAGGACTGACCAAAAAAAAAAAAAGCCTTTAAACTAGGAGGCCTGGAGGAGATTGGAAAATGGAGTTACAAAGCAGAAAATAGATTTTCAGAGAGAGACAGTATTAATGTGAGGGATAAAATTTCTGTTCTTTATCAATGCTATTTTCTCTTTTCTTTTTCCATGTGTTTCTTTCCTTGAACTGAGGCTTGAATTCAGTGTTCTTGCTTAGCTTTTTCCCCTTAAGGCTGGTGTTCTTAACACGTGAGCCATACCTCTAACTTCCTTCTTTTTTCTGGTTAAGTGGAGATAAGTATCTGGTTTTTCTTCTCTGGAAGGCTTAGAACCTAGATCCTCAGATCTCAGACTCCTAAGTAGCTAGGATTGTTCCCCACATTTTTATATTGATATAACTGTCATAAAAATAAACTACCCACCCAGGCACTGGTGGTGCATGCCTGTAATCCTAGCTACTCAGGAGGCTGAGATCTGAGGATCACAGTTCAAAGTCAGTTCCGGCAGGAAAGTCCATGAGATTCTTATCTCCAATAAACCACCAGAAAACCAGAAGTGGTGCTGTGGCTCAAGTGGTAGAGCACTTGCCTTGAGCTGAAGAGCTGAGGGACAGCACCCAGGCCCAGAGTTCAAGCTCCACACCAACAAAAATAATAAATAAATAAACTATCCAGATTCAAAGCTCAAGATTGATAAATTGTGAGGCACAGTTCACATGTGCTTTTGCGTATTTCCCAGCCCACATTTCTATTATTATCTTCTAGTGAGACCTCTTTCCTATTATTTCATAAATTTGCAGAGGCTTTCAGTCGAATTTTCAGGCCTCTCCTAGTTTTAGCTCTCTGTCTTTAAAGACAGTCATGTGGATAGGCACCTTGGCTCGTGCCTGTAATCCTATCTACTCAGCTTGGGCTGGAAAGTCCATGGGACTATTATCTCCAATTAACCACAAAAAAGCCGGAAGTAGAGCTGTGATTCAAGTCATAGAACACCATCACTGAGTGGAAAAAGCTAAGGGACAGAGGCTCAGGCACTGAGTTCAATCCCTTCTACTGGCACACATGCATCCTCATACACACAGACTTGTACACACAGTCATGTTACCTTGCTCTAGGTTTTCTTTATTTTTTTGTTTTGTTTTGTTTAACAATACCCAGGTTTGAACTAAGGGCTTCACCCTTGTTAGTTTAGTCTTGCTGGATATTTGGACTGAACTTCCATTGACTGAACCTCAATCCTCCAATTCTCAGGCTCCTAGATTATAGGTATGGTCCACCTATAATGTCAGCAGTGCTCTAGGTTTTGACAGTGACCTCAGACTCATGTTATTTTACTGGGAGAAGGAAGGGGATCGTGTGTGTGTGTGTGTGTGTGTGTGTGTGTGTGTGTGTGTGTGTGTGTGACTTTAAAGGCCAGTGTGTGTGTGTGTGTGTGTGTGTGTGTGTGTGTGTGTGTGTGTGTGACTTTAAAGGCCAGATCATAGGTGAAGCCTGAAGCTTAGTTGTTGGATCATTTGGTTGTTTTAGAAGTATATAGGAAAGCCGGGCGCTGGTGGCTCACACCTGTAATCCTAGCTAATCAGGAGGCTGAGATCTGAGGACCTCGGTTCAAAATCAGCCCAAGCAGGAAAGTCCATGAGACTCTTATCTCCAATAGACAACTAGGAAACCAGAAGTGGCGCTGTAGCTCAAATGGTAGAGCGCAGTAACAGCACTCAAGCCCAGCGTTCAAGCCCCACGATCGACAAAAAAAAAAAAAAGAAAAGGTATATAGGAGGCTCACTATCTGGTAATTCTAAGGAGGCTGAAACCTGGAAGATCCATTCTTGAAGGTTTGAAGCCTCAGGCAGAAAAGTCTATGAAACTGTCTTCCAATTAACCAGCCGAATGTGAGAGTGGCTCAAATGGAAGAGTGCTTTTCATATCCAAGCAATTTAAGAGCATGTGGTCCTGAGATAAGTCCCAGTACTAGCACTTGCACACATGCACACACATATAGATTTGAAAAAGTGACAGCTGGCTATAGCAGGCCGCATCTCAGAGGCACTCTGAAGTGAAGTGTCTGAGCACTTCTAGAAGCCAGGTTCTTTTTTTTTTTTTTGGCCAGTTCTGGGGCTTGAACTCAAGGCCTGGACACTGTTCCTGAGCTTCTTTTGCTCAAGGCTAGCACTCTACCACTTAAGCCACAGCACTACATCCAGTATGTGGTACTGAGGACTTGAACCCAGGGCTTCATGCATGCTAGGCAAGCACTCTACCACTAAGCCACATTCCCAGTCCGAGATCTAATTATTTTATCTGTTCTTTTCCTTTTTTTTTTGGATGTGGCTGCTAGGAAATTTGGAACTACGTGTTTCTGGAGCTTTCCATAGCATTTATTCTTCAGCAAGTTTGTTTTGAATCTCTTCTTTCATGAAGTTTGTCATTTTCTACTTTTGTTTACTCTTGTGATGAGGTTAGGGACTCATACATACTAGGCAAGTGCCCTACCATTCAGCTAATAATAATCTCCATCCCTTTTATTATTATTATTATTTTGTGCCAGTATTGGCGCTTAAACTCAAAACCTCATCTCTCCCTTACCTTTTTCTGATCAATGCTGGTACTTCTGAGCCACATTTCTACTTCTGCTTTTTTTTGGGGGGGGGAAAGGGGGGTCCAGTCGTGGGGCCTGAACTCTGGGCCTGGGCCTGGGCGCTGTCCCTCAGCTCTTCAGCTCAAGGCTAACACTCTACCACTTGAGCCACAGCGCCACTTCCGGCTTTTTTTTTTCTGCTTATGTGGTGCTAAGGAATCGAACCCAAGGGCCTCATGCACACAAAGCAAGCACTCTACCACTGAACCACCGTCCCAGCCCCTACTTCTGCTTTTTGATGATTAATTGAAGATGAGAATCTTTTGGGGCTGGGGATGTGTCTTTTTTTTGGGGGGTCCGGTCGTGGGGCCTGAACTCTGGACTTGGCCACTGTCCCTCAGCTCTTCAGCTCAAGGCTAGCGCTCTACCACTTGAGCCACAGTGCCACTTCCAGCTTTTTTCTTTTTGCTTATGTGGTGCTGAGGAATCGAACCCAGGGCCTCATGCATGCAAGGCAAGCGCTCTACCACTGAGCCACCTTCCCAGCCCCTCGGAATGTGTCTTAATGATAGAGTGCATGCCTAGTATGTATGAAGCCCTGGGTTCTATTCCTCAGTATCACGTAAACAGAAAAAGCCAGAAGTGGTGCTGTTGCTCAAGTGGTAGAGTTCTAGCTTTGAGCAAAAGAAGCTGAGGGACAGTGCCCAGGCCCTGAGTTCAAGCCCCCCAGGACTGGCAAAAAAAAAATCTTTTGGAATTCTCTGCCTAGACTGACTTTGAACCTGGGTCATCAGAACTCAGCCTTCCTAGTAACTAAGATTACAGTCATGAACAACAGCACCCAGCATGTTTATTATTACAGTTTTTGTTGCGGGGGGAGGAGGGAGCAGATAGGATCCTGGGGCTTGAACTTAGGGCTTGGGTGCTGTCCCTTAGCTTTTTGCTCAAAGGTCTACCACCTGAGCCACAACTCTGCTTTCTGCTTTTTGATGGTGGTTAATTGGAGATAGTCTCACAGACTTTCCTGCCTTGGCTAATTTTGAAACTTTATCCTCAGAGCTAGAATTACAGGCATGAGCCAGCAGCACCTGCCATGTTTATTATTTTTATTATTATTATTATTTTTTTTTTGTCAGTCATGGGGCTTGAACTCTGGGCCTGGGCACTGTCCCTGAGCTCTTCAGCTAGCG